GAGGGAGCCTGGCGTGGGTGGGGGTGCGGCTGCCTGCCAGGCCCAGCTGGGAGCAGGGGCTGGGGTGGGGGCAAGAACCCCGGCACTGGGGCCCCAGATCCTGGGCCTGCCTGCCACGGAGAAACCTTAGCCAGCCGGCCCTCCCCCTTCCCAATTCCCCGGTGCTAAAAAGCCCACGACATTTACGACTTCAGGAGGGTAAAGAGCCTGAGAAAAGAATTGCAGACCATATGGATTTGTTTCCTGGGTTTAAAAAAAAAATCCCCCTAATTAGGCCGGGAAAAGCCATCCGCCTGTCGAGGCCCCTGGATTCAATTACTGCCCGACCTCCCCAGCTTGTAGGGTGGCTCGGTCCTCCCACCCCTCCACGCACCCGGGGGTCAGGGGTGGGTCCCAGAGAAGGGCTGGTCCAAGGGGAGAGGGGACTGGGGGCTGACAGCCAGGCTGGGGTGGAGGAGGAAGAGGAGGAGGAGGAGGACAAGCTTTTCTAGCCTTTTTTTTTTTTTTTTTGCACTGGGGATCGAACTCAGGCCCTTGCGCTTGTGAGCTAACTCCCCAGCCCGCTAGCCATTTCTGACCCCTGGTCTCTGGCTGTGGCAAGTCTTCCCTGGGCCGTGTCCTGGTCCCTAGGCTGACACAGTTCTTGGGTCCGGACCTCTCTGAGTGGCCTTCTCTCATCGCCAGGGAAGCTTGACATCAGACTGAAAACCGATCCACTAAGCCGGCGGAGAGATGGTGTGACAGGTCTACTCCATTCCCTCTCCTTTTTTGTAACCATGTAATAACGTTTTCTCCAAGAAGCGGCGGTCCCCCACGAGAACTCCCTTCTTCCTTCTACCTGCGCGGGGCCCTCAGTCCCTAAACCCTCTCCCACTTCCTCACCCTATAAACACCTTTCCAGGCCTACACCTCTCAAACTTCTGTCCTCCCTGCCAAGCTCAGGTTCTGGAAAAGAGGCTCAGTCCTGGTACCTCCCACCAGGCACCAACATCACCTCGCACCCCTCCAGCCTCCCCTACTCCCTCTTGTGGGGCCCAGTGGTGGCCCCCAAGCTTCGGGGTCCCAGTGTCCCTGCAGGCTGGCTGGCCTGAGTACTGCGGTGTCCTCTTGGGCCACTGAGGCACAGTCACTTGCCACCTGCCCCTCTGCCCGCCTAGGCC